AATTGTTCTGACCTTTATTGAATGACCTTTCCTATTTATAAATAACACAATTCTGACGTAAAATTTCTTCGTAAAAACATGATAACATTGTCTAATTCATTAATGTATTAGGCCTTATTTTAGCCTTTGTAACATGAAACACATCAACTATGAACTTATAACCATTGTCGGGATTGATGACAAAGTTTTCAATGAATTAAAGGTTCATTGTTTTGTGAAATTTTCATGGCAAATTCTAGGTTTGCAATGAGTTCACTAGACAAATATCAACCATATTCAAACCTAAATAACAAAATGATATTTTTGCCACACAAAGAACATGTATTACGAGTAACTCATGAATTATATATGTACCTACATATTGTGATGGTGTTTCGTTTCCTGAGTTGAATGTTTTAGTTGTGAAGCTTTCATTGTTCTTCAGGTGAACACAACATCATCAGCACAAACTTCAAACAGCTGAAGTGAAGTATTCAAATCTCTCCATGTTTGACCCGTAGCTTGTTCTGTTAACCTTGATCTCAGACCTGTCGTTGTTTGCACCCTTGTATTGATTGTATCCCACTTTTGATCTGTTTCTTAATCCTATGTTTGCATATGACTTTTCTAGTAGGTTGATAAACTGGGTCAGTGTCAGTCAGTCAGTTGCAACATAGAACTTCGTACGTATGTACATCAGTTCATGTTTCCAAACCACATTAGCACAGATACGCAAATGTCAAATCATATCCCATAGTGATAAAGATAGTAGAGGTATTAATGGTAATGAAGAAGACTAAACGGTTTGAAGATATTATTCAAGAAGTATAATTCAGTGAGATAAGCATAGAAAGACAAAGGGTAGAGGTGCTGACAAGTCCAGAAGATTAGGATTTGAGAGAGCTCAACGAATGGATGCACTTGCGCCATTGCAAATGATTCCGAGCCATGTCGTTCACGGTCTCTAACCATTGGTAACTTTCGTCTCGTGAACCCCAACCAGGTAGCCTACATCTACCAATGTTGAAGAATGATGAAAGCTCCACAACCAAAACATTCAGCTCCGAAAACGAAACACCAACACAACCATCTACTCGAACTACAAATTTTCTCCACCATCTCACTACCTACATGCATTATGTTACTAGGAATCCTTGTTGAAATACAACTTAACTTGAAGTGTGTTCTCACCTATGTAATAATTACACATTTTTGAAACTATGAATCAAGATCAATGTTAGACGACCATTAGAAACCTGGAAACAATGGACAAAGGCCGTTTCGTCCTGGTATGGGACTCTTCAGCAGTGCGTATCCACGACTCCTGCACCCCGTGGGATTCGAACTCAGGACCTACGGTATTGTGCGCGAACGCCTAACCATCGGACCACTGAGCCGGTAACTAACGGTGTTGCCCAACCTCATACACAGTCTTCGGTAGTTACTGTCTATACCAGAACAGGTTGAACTTCACTGGTCAAGTCTTCCCACTAGAACTCGGAGAAGATTCCTCAGGAAGCTAGTCACTAGTGAACACAGGTATTTTGCATTACGAGGTTGTGAATAATTAACATTAACTTTGAGAAACAAAAACCCCAAATTCACATTATTATTTTCTGAAAAATTTAAGTTTACAAACATGAAATGATTTTTAAACAGATAAGTGTCAATCAAATAAACTTACCACAGCTACAGCTCTTGTAGTTAAAATCTCTGCCACTGGAACAACAGTAACATAAGCTACATTAGCAGCTGTATAAACTATAGTCACCAGTAAACATGATATAACAATAGCTATAGGTAAATGTTTACGAGGATTTTTCATTTCTTCAATCATACAATTTAAATAATTCCAACCAGAATAAGCAAATAAACCACTATAGAATGCATTGGCCAAACTACCAGGACTCCAATTAGAATCTTCAAATGGATCTAGCAATTCTTCATATCGACCTAAAAATGAAATTGATTTCAACAAAAGAGGAAAAAAACACATTTATTTCATTAATTCATTCTACCTAGGGGTTAGCTAATATAACAACTGTATAGTGCATTGAATCACAAATAATTCACTAATGTACGCCAACTTCATAGACTATGAGAAAGTATTTGATAGTTTTTGTGGATAGGAAAACACTATGGAGACTTTTTGGACATTCTACAGTGTGCCTGAGAAAATAGTTAACATCATAAGGAATTCTTATAATGGATACAACTGTAAAATCGTACACAAAGGACAGCTAACAGACTTTTTTGAGGTGAAGACCGGCGTCAGGCAAGGTTGCTTACTCTCAACCTTTCTCTTCCTCCTGGTGTGATCGACTGGATTATGAAGATTTCAACATCTGGAGGGAAGCACGGTATCAACAGGACAGTTAGGACGCAGCTGGGCGATCTGGACGATCGCAGATGACCTGACTCTTCTATCGCACACGCAACAACAAATTCAAGAGAAGACGATCAGTGTAGCAGTAGGTCTCAACATACATAAAGAAAAAAGTAAAATTCTCCGATGAAACACAACATGCAACAACCAAATCACTCTTGATGGACATGGCTTGGAGGACGTTAAACACCTTTACATATCTGAGCAGCATCATCGACGAGAAAGGTGGATCCGATGCAGATGTGAAGGCGTGGATCGGCAACGCAAGGGCTGTATTTTTACAAATTGAAAAATATCTGGAACCCGAAACAACTATCAATCAACACAAAAATCACGATTTTCAATACAAGACAATTCTACTGTATGAAGTGGAAACTTGTAGAACTACCAAAGCCATCATCCAGAAGATACAAGTATTTATTAACAGTTGTCTACGCAAAATACTTCAGATTCGTTGGCCAGACACTATCACCAACAACTTACTGTGGGAGAAAACAAACCAGATTCCATTGGAGAAGGAAATCAGGAAAAAGTAGTGGAAGTGGATAGGACACACATTACGAAAAGCACCGAACTGCGTCACGAGATAAGCCCTCACTTGGAACTCTCAGGGTAAAATAAAAAGTGGAAGGCCAAGGAACATATTACGCCGAGAAATAGAGAAAGACATGAGAAGGATGAACAAACATTGGACAGAGCTGGAAAGAGAAGCCAATAATAGACTAGGTTAGACAATACTAATCGGCGGCCTTTACTCCATTGGGGGTAACAGGCGAAATTAAATAAGTAATCTGAAATTAACAACACTTCCAATAATGAAGCACATCAATGAAATCATCATGTCAAGTTTTAATCTTTAAAAACAAAACAAAAATTTTTTGGCAAAAAGAACAACATTTCAAACTTACCAAATCCAATTTGTACAAAACCAGTTACAATAATCATAATCAATGCAGCTAATTTAGCAAATGTAAATATATCTTGTATTCTTGTTGAAAATTTAATTGAAAATGAATTGGCAAAGCTTAAAAATGCTTTAAAGATGAGAAAAAAAAAAAGACAGTTGAACATAATTCTTCATAAATATAAATAATAAGTCATCGGAAAAAATAAATCATATTAATGCATATTAATGCCAAAAAAAAAAGGAATACAGAGGTGCCTAATTTTTTTTCAGGAGTAAATTTCTCTTTTCTTTGCCTTTTGTTCTATGCATATCTTATCTTAAAATAAACTTCTTTTTTTCGGCTTAAGCAGTCAGTGAATGATAAATTCCATTGAGATACTTTCTTTCAGTTTTAATAAGCATTTTTAAAATCAATAGAAATTAAAAAAATTGTTAATATAATTTTTTTTGTAATTAATAAATGTAAGTCATTATTAATAGAGACAATAGATACAATGCAGAACAACTTCGTACATAAGTAAGTACATCAGTTCAGGTTGTTATACCACGCATTAACACAGAGACGTAATTGTCAGTTCAAATCTAAGAGTGATAGCGATAGTAGAAGAAGAGTAGAGTATAATTCAGTGAGATAAATTTAGAAGGAGAAAGATAGAGATTATTATGAGAAATTCAGAAGATTAGAATTAAAAAGCACACAAAGAGAGTGGATGCACCTGTGCTATTGCAAACGATTTTGAGTCAAGTCATTCAAGGTCTCTAACCATTGGTGACTTTCGTCTCGCGGACGCAAACTACGTAGTCTACATCCACCAACATGACTCAGTTCACTTGTCAGTGACTTCATGGATTTGTGTCATGTTTTGGTCTGACCGCCCCTAATTTTCTTCCAACCTACTCCTACACCACAATATATAGCTCGTCGCGGCAGTCAGTAGTTAGTCATACGTAACACATGTCCCAACCACCTCAACTGATCAGGTTTCAATGCTTCGTCTATTGATTTGCCATCCCTGCCTAGAACTCGTTTCCTAACGACAGAATTGCTAACTCGGTTGTCCTAGGATACACGAACAATGCTTCGTAGACACCGACGATCGAAGACTAGTAACCTACGAATGTCCTCTACTCTTAACGGCCATGTTTCACAGCCATAAAGTAGGACGGAGCGAACTGCTGCACGGTACACTAGTCCTTTGGTTAGCCTGAGGATATCTCACCTGTAACATAGGTGACGCAGGTTGGCAAAAGCAATCGAGGATTCAGTATCCGAGCTGATGAGACTAAGCAATAATTAATACATGAATTTTTTTCAAGCAGTTTACTGATGTGTGACGGACTGATGAATTTCCATGAATAGTAGTAGTAGTCGGAGTAGAAGTAGTAATAGTAGTTGTAGTAGTAGCAGTAGTAGTGTTAAACTTTTGCAAGTCAATTAATTAAATTTTTTTTTAGAGTATCAGAAAAAATAAACTGTTTGTTAATCTGATAAATTTTCATTGATCTTGTCAGAAGTTAATTACATTACAAAAGACTAAGTTTTAGTGAAATGATTTAGGTCTTGTAGTTTAAAAAAACGTTTAAATCAACAAAGTAGCTACTATACATTGATATCGTCAATCAACCATTGTTGGATCACAACTAGAAACCTGGAAGCACTGGACGGCCGTTTCGTCCTGATATGAGACTCATCAGTGGCAGTGCGTATCCACAACTCCTGCTACTCTCAGGATTATTACCCAACACATTCAGTCTTCCGCACCAACACCTAACCTCTGAACCACTAAGCCGGCCGACATCGAACAGTGTTCATGTCTAACTCTGATCCACCTACAGATTTTGCGCTACATCGCCCATTAGTCTTCGGTAGTAGTTACTGCCTAAACTCGACAGGGTTGAACTCCACTGGTCACATCGTTATCACAATATCTTTGCTTAATCGAAATCTTATAAACAATGAATTTTCATAAATAATTGAGCATATCTATGAATGAATGAATAAAAGGTTAATATTTCTAAAAAAAAACTTACTAATACATAAAGCAGCCAAAATTCTAACTAATATAATTGGTAATGGACAATCAGGATATATAGGTTGTACAACATATTCACCAAATGTCAATGCAACAATAGCAATTGATACAGGTCGTACAACCATCACTTCAACCCATAAACGTAAAAATCCAATAAATGAACCAA